AAAAAAAAAAAAAAAAGAAAAAGGGAGAGATAATCATATAAGAGAGTGAGTGCAGATGACATGATAAATAATAGCACAAGAAGACAAATAGAAACATTTAAAAATGAAATCTAAATCTGGAAACAGACACTGGTGTGGTGGGATCATTATAACTTGTTCAATGAACATGTTCTTGTGTGGGTAACCCATAATCCCATTTCCATGTGCTAGTTTACTGCGACTATTTTTCACTTCAAGACACCAATAAAACAATACTGTATAAATTGTAACAAAATCTGAAACAAAATTATTCGTGGAGTTTTAACATATATTTTTTTTTTAAAAAAAAAAGATAATGTAATTTTTATAATTTGTTTTTGAACGAAAGCGCATACTTAGAGAAGTGTCGTATTTTTGTTAATTTTGTTTTTAGAATGTCATTTATATATGAAACTATACATATTTATTAAAATAAATATAGTTGTTTAACTGTTAGGTATGCTTAACGACATTCTATCTTAATGTTATTATTTTTTTTTATTATTTCTTTTAAATTATGGAGAAATATGATGTTATATTCCAACTTTATATTTTATTTTGTGTACATTGTACTATTTATAATGTCATGTTCTCACTGTAGAATATGCCTCTATGTGATACATTACAAAATAATGAAAAAAAAAAAGGAACCAAATTATATACCTCCAGGATAAGATTCAGTGTGGATGACAGTAACTTATAAGATGCTATTATAGCTTCTTGTTGTTCCATTCAAATATAAAAGGTGTAAGTGGAAGCTTGGCTCATGAAAAATCTTATAGTAATTTTTTACTAATGTCTCGTTAATAGTAAAATGCTGAGGAAAAAAAATATAACCAAATTAGGGAACATACAAAATAATGTATCCGCTGTAGAGCCACACAAAATCCCTTGAAAATTGGATCCTTTGTACTAAAGATTTATATAGATTTTGACGAGAACAATAAGCATAAAAGTACAAAACTGAAGACTGTATAATAAAAATTTAAATCTTGCTATTTTATTTTTTTATGTTTTCTTACATCAATTTTTGTTAAACAGAACAAGTTGATCGTGAGTTTGGTTCGACTCGACTTACAACTCAAATTCAGCTTGAGTTTGCTCGACTTGTTTCAAACTCATTTAGTTAGTGAGTTAGTTAATTGGTCGAGTTCGATCCATTTTAGTAAAGACTCTAACTTAATATCGAACTCGACTCGACCCGACCTATTTACAAATCTACGACCAAACATGCAATAATTTACCAATTTTAAATATAGGGAATCTGGGTCCCACTTTTCCGGCAGCTTCTCTACAGATGAATTGATAAAATAGTACACAGAAAACTGAGCATAAAAATAAAGAAAAGTACAACGCGGTGCGAGAAACTCTGATCAATAAATTCTCCGACACTTCGTCTCAACAACCTCAGAATCTTGTTTCCTCTAAAAAGTCAATTTTTTCATCTTTTCCTCCGATAAACTCGATCAGTTGCTTATCTTCTTATTTTCTCGAACAACAATTGATCTGCAGCTGTCGGCAAGAGGATTGATTATTCATTTCGGTTGTGAGGATATCTATTTTACCTTCCGAAACAAGTGTTTGTTGAAATGCCCCAGTGACCTCAGTGGCCAGTGCATGTGTTTTGGGCTATGGGTTCATGAAAAAATCAAGTTGGGCAGTTATAAAAATTTGTCATTTATATCTATTTTGGGAAAGAGAATCTTGTAAAGGTGGATTTCTGACCTGGGTTTTGCTTGAAATGGGTGTGCAAATTATAAAGTTCTAATCTTGGTGCTGTTAAACATTACAGTAGATGGCATTTATTATTTGAGAGAGTTTGATAGGGTAAATAGAGCAATTGAGAGATGGGATCTGGCAATGGGTTTTACAAAGGGGAAGAGTTCACTTTGGACCCCAAATGGTTGGTGGATCCAAAGCTTCTCTTGGTCGGACCAAAGATTGGAGAAGGAGCTCATGCCAAAGTTTACGAAGGAAAGTAAGTTGACATTTTTTTTTTCCATGTCTTGAAAATTTATCATTGTAGTGAAAATGGTTTGTAATTCCTTAAATTTGTTTTTAGAATCATCCCATGAATAGTTTAGTGGTAGTTTTGGTTTAGTATTCTTGGATTGCACCCTAGAAAGACTGTAATAGCTGAAGGAATGTTAAAGAAAAGCATATAACTGCTGCAACCTTTTCTTTGAATCTCTTTAATGATTGTAAAAGTTAATTAGCCTCTTATCTTGCTTGGCCTTTCATTTCAGATACAAAAACCAGAACGTTGCCATCAAAATCGTTCAGAAGGGAGAGACACCTGAAGAGATTGCTAAGAGGGAGGGTAGATTTGGAAGGGAAGTCGAAATGCTTTCCAGAGTCCAACACAAAAATTTGGTTAAGGTTTATCCATTTATCTACCCACGACATCTATCCACTATTTTATTAGTGATTTGTGTATACTTTTCAGATTTGGGTATTTTTTTTTTAGTACGAAATGCTTGTGTTGAGGCTCGCGTTTTGGAAAGGAGAGAAAAATAGTTATACGCCACAAGTTATTGACTCTTTTTTTTTTTAACAGTTTATTGGAGCTTGTAAAGAGCCTGTAATGGTTATAGTAACTGAGCTTCTACTTGGGGGAACATTGCGAAAATATTTGATAAACATGCGACCAAGGTGCCTCGATATGCGTGTTGCTATCGGGTTTGCACTTGATATAGCTCGGGCAATGGATTGCTTACACTCGCATGGAATTATCCACCGTGACCTTAAACCTGGTAATGGATCATTTTTTTTTTTATTTTTTTTCCTTTCGGTTGGAAGCTTGTAATAACTAATAATCCAATAGTAGGCCTGAACTTTGTATAATTCTCACAACTGAACTAGGAAATTGTTGATTTAAACTCTGTAGAAGTATTAAAACATGATTGATACTTCTGATTATGTTACATGAGGAGTTGATCTGTAATTTTATAGAAAACCCTGCAACAAAAATACTTACTTGCGTATTTTTTGCGTCCAGAAAATTTGCTGTTGACAGAAGATCATAAAACTGTAAAACTTGCGGATTTTGGTTTGGCAAGAGAAGAGTCATTGACTGAAATGATGACTGCTGAGACTGGAACTTATCGCTGGATGGCTCCAGAGGTAGTTTCTATATATATATATATATTTTTTTTTTTTTTTTGAACTTATTCTTTTATGTTGTTTGCCGACTTGTTTAATTGAGCGATATTCTGGATAAATTGGTTTTGCTGTAAATATTTTCCTTTATTCTGGATATATTGGTTGCAGCTCTACAGTACAGTGACACTAAGGCATGGAGAGAAGAAGCATTACAACCATAAGGTGGATGCCTACAGTTTTGCAATTGTGCTGTGGGAGCTCATTCATAACAAGTTGCCATTCGAAGGCATGTCTAATTTACAGGCTGCTTATGCTGCTGCTTTCAAGGTAATTCTCTTTCTCTCTATATATATTATTTACTTCTGAATTTCAGTCATTTCTTATTTATTCAATTTTAAACTCGAATTTCTATCGTGGAGGTAAGTTTATGGTATTTGTCAACTTTTTGTGGAATGAATCACTTTAGACAGTGGCTCGAGGGATTGTTTGAAATTAGCATTTATCTTATATTTTTCACCTATAAGTAGTGGGGCTGATGTAAGTTGATGATAATGTAAGATATTTTTTCATCATATCCCTGAACTTTCTTCATTCGTTAGATTTACATCCCTTAGTTCTTCTGTAAACTACAAATCACACAATGAAAATCTTAGGCAAGTTTGTATTATCTTGAAAGTTTGAGCATGCAAACTGTAAAATAATAGGTAAATGAAACAAATACCGCCAAGGCGGAAGGTAAGTGAGCTAATCAAGTGTGGTTTATGTGTTTTCGATGATTTGTAGAATTGATAAATCATTCTCAGAGCTACTTTTTGTAGAATTACTCATTTACACAAAAATATGAAGCAAAAAATTGTCCTTTTTGTGAAAATATGCAAGTGCAACCAATAGCCCTCATATTACAATTTCTTTTAAAAAAAAAAACGAAAAATATTAACTATTTAAAATTTTTAAAGTAAAAGAGTTATTACATTTAAAGATGGATTGAAAAGAATATTTGTGTTCAGAATGCAAGGCCGAGCGCCGAGAACCTTCCGGAAGAACTCGCATCAATCGTCACACTATGTTGGAAGGAAGACCCGAACGATCGCCCGAACTTCACCCAAATCACACAAATGCTCCTCCGATATTTGTCCACAATCTCGCCTGTCGTGCCACATAGGATTTTCACGTCTGATAGAAATGCTGTTTTCCCACCCGAGTCTCCTGGGACGAGCTCGTTAATGGCCAAGAGAGATGATAACAATGGTGACACGCCTAAAACACCAATGGAGGATGAAGCTAGGCAATCTTTCTTGTGCTGTAGTTAGATTTATATTAACTGCTAGATTAAAGATGTTTAATTTTCCTTATAACTTGGGAATTTAAATGTCTGCTGCATGAATTCTTGATTATGAACAAAATGTAGTTTTGATTGGAATTTTCCAGTTATGGATAGGGTTACAGGAAATTGGACCCAGATCTGACTAGGAAGCAAGAATTTGTATATTGTATGGATTTTGGGCAAGTGCTAGCTGTTGTATTATAATTGTGATGTGAAATAAAGTGAATTTTACTTGGTCAAACTTGCTAATTTTTCTTGTGATTAGAATTTAGTGGGATTATTGAGATGTAGAGATTCAATCTAATAGCTCTTATTTAATGTTCTGGTCCTAGAATTAAGAAAGGGAAATTCATACTTTTTTAGCAAAGCCTTTATTGAACTGAAATGCAGTACAGAAGACAGTTTGTATGTCTGAAATCGAGCCACATTTTATCGCGTGTTGTGGATAGTTTACAAAATATAACACGCATTATGTAATCTTTCGAATTGAAAGACGAACATATATATCTACATTCGATTTGTGTTCTTTTGGCATGCTTGTGAGATTGGTATTGGGGGATCTGAAAACGAGCCTTTCACGATACGGGTTGCGATCCAGCGGTTTGCGGACTCAGAATAATGCACGCCGTCCCAGCTTATGGTTCGGGTAGGATTCTTGCAGGAACCACCGAAGACTTCAGTTCCATTCACTTTTCCTTTGTTTCCACACCAAACATCGTACCCGATCCCATGATGTCCGCAGCAGATATTAAATGGATCCTCAAATCCTGTACAATTCAGTAAGAAATGAACATGGATTTGGTACCAACCATTTGTTTTTTTTTTTTTTTAGTTTGAATGTTAGCTCTAAAGGGTAGCTGGAGGTTACATTGTTTAAGTTTAGTATTAATGTATTATAATTAAACCATATAATAAACCGATGGATTATTGATTTTTTTTTTTTTGTTAAAGCCAGCTGCTTCTCATTTCTCAGTAATCACGAGGTTTGTCTGCTAGTATTATAAGGCCCGCCAATGATTTCCAAATCTTGATTCTTCACAATCATGTGTTAAAAATAAATAAATAAATAAAAACCTTAAAACATAGAACGCAGAAAAATCATAATCACCTTGATCTTTTGCATTGGTGATTAATTCTAACTTGGCACTATACATGTCAGTGTAGATTATGATAGCCTCTGAAAGCTCTGATCTTAGCTTCACAATCTCATCCTTGAGCAATTTATTGAGTTCAATAGCTATCTCATTTTGGCTTTTAACACAACCATGCTCGTCCAGATAACCCGGCCCGGGATTTTGAACCTTCACAGTCGCTACCGGCAAGCAGCCGATCGGGCCAGTGTTGTGTATCCAGAAAATCCTCGCCTCTCGTTCGTATAATATCTTCATGAAAATCACACTCAAAAAACTGAAAATTTCAAGATTAAGGAAAAAAAAAAAAGTATGATGCTAATGAACTTACTCTGACTTGTGCTATAAACAGGCTGACTATTTTCGGCACGGCTAGCTTTTGAAGTTCGAAGCTCAGTTTTCGAATGCCTGCCGCCACATCATTCTGCCCTATATCGAGCACAAACAGGGCTTTCGAGAGGTCCTCAGGCATAGGCAGTTTTCTCATGAAAGATTTCTTTTTGGCTGAAAGATCACAAATTACGGAGATAAAAAAGTGTAAAAAGAGGCATAACCCTTTCTAACTTTATATTACCTTTGTAGAAATACGCTGTTCGGTCTTTGAGCTGCGTGTAGTGCTCGACTTGGATTTCAAGAGAGAAGGGGCTAACCGAGCTCTCAAACCAACTCTCGACCGGCCGCATAATGGTTGCACCGCCTGTTGCAAAGTTTGTACCGTGCCGAAAACTGGAACCGATTGATCCTATTGAGTCCAGGTATGGGTTTAGGTATGGTAATCCCAAATGGGCAGCTACATGAAAACATAGAGAAAAAAATTAGACATATATATATATGTATGTATGTATTAAAGTATTTTTTGGTTCTTTAAGCTATAAATAATTTGTATGTGTACCAATAAAGTCTATGATCAGACGGCCATCGGAGGCTCGTCCAGCTGGCCGATGAAAGTGAGTCTGGCCGGAAGGTAATACCGGTGGATAGAATGCTGCTGAAATACCGCCGGTGTCTGAATTTGAATCACCAAAGTTAAAAATTGAAGGGTAATTACAGGTTGATTGTTGTACTTCATTAGCATTTGCTAATAAGGTACTCCATGAGAGTAGGACAAGAAGAACTAAATTTGTAAGAAATTCCATCTAAGTAGGATTGTGAGTAATGAGAATTATACAGATAGACTGGTTATATATAGAGAGACCCCAAAGCACATATTTTTTTTTTTTTAAATAAAAGTGTGAGTATTTAATACAGCAAATCTGCAGGGCTGACTAATGTGCTCCAAAGAAAGTGTAAAAGTCTAAAATTTTTCATAAAACTCAATCCAGTAAAGGGATTTACACATAATCTCAATTTGCCATGCTTAGGTAACTTTAATTCTTATGCAGCTGCAATAATTTCTTTTTCTTTTTATTAAATTCCTTTTGTTCATTTTTTTATGAAAATCTTGTAGTAGAAATTCGCGAAAGAAGAGGAAAAAAAAAGAAACAAAATCAAGAAATGATACAAGAGATTCACATGGCCCTTCATGTTTTGTGGCAGGCTTTTCGACAATTCGACTGCGACCGGTGGATAGAAAAATGTACCATCGATTACACGATCTGCTATCCAATGATTAAGATGCTTTTGTTCTCGAGCTATTTGTTGAATTTGAGAGAGAAAAACTGTTGTGTCACTTGATCTCATTTACAAGAAACACATTCATTGAAGAATGTTTCAGTAAATCTTAGCCAATTAATTTTCACCTTCTTAATTTAATTCATCATATGTGATTCATAGTTTACCTCACTACATTACCTTTGGACATAAAATAAAAAAAAAAGTGATAACACAAGATGAATATCAACTCCCATTTTGCAGGATACACATAATTATGCTTACAGTCCATGCTCAAACAGGTCAATGCTTAAGACAAGCTCTAGAAATTGGGATTGGTGGCTCAGAAAATGAGCCATTGAGTATTTGATTTGCAATCCACTGATTGGCTGCCTGAGAGTAATGGACCCCATCCCAGCTTATGCAACTTTCCGGCGACCCACAGCTGTCACCGATTAAATCTGTGCCGTTGATCGTCACCCTTTGCCCGCACCACACGTGAACGTTATTCTCATGATGGCCACAGCAAATTTTGAAAGGATCGTTGAATCCTGTTAAATTTCAACAAACAATACTATTTGTGTTGATCATATATGAAATTTTGAGTGATCATATATGAAACTTTGAGGGGAGTCTCTTTAACTAAATTTAAAGTTTAAAACATATGGACTGACCATAAAGACTAGCATTTTTTATCAACCGATACTTTGCTGAGTAGATATTGACGTATGTAATTGCCGCGTGAGGAAGCTCGGCTCTTAACGAGCCGATTCTATCTTTAAGCTGCCGGTTGAACTCCATTGCCAAAGGCATTATGACTCTTTATGCATCCGTATTTGTTTAAAAAGCCGGGCCTTGAATTTGCAAAGTAAATAGTAGCCGCCGGTAGACATCCGATTGGCCCTGTATTGTGAATCCAGAATGACCTGGCACCTTGTTCGTACAAACGCTGCAAAAGTTATGTTTTTAGTACATAATGTATCGATATATTTGTTTCTGTTACTTGTTAAACAACTAACCGTGACTGAAGCTGAGAATCGGTTGATGATATCTGGAATCGAGTCGCGAAGTTGTGGTACAGTCAGCTTTCGAAAACCAGACGAAATGTCGTTTTGGCCTATATCGAATGTGTATAGAGCTTTCGAGAATTCTTGAGGAATCGGGAGCTTATTTTTGTCGGCTGGATTTTGGGCTGAAAATTTGAATGTGACCGAATTGTGAACTAGAAAAGCAGATGAAAAGAAAAAAAGAAAAGAAAAATGAAAAATGAAAAATACCGCGGATCGGATCATCACCTTGGTTATATAGTTCGCTTGTTCGGATCTTGAATTGATAATGCTGCACGGTTTGAACGTCGAGTGAGAAGGGGCTTAAGCCATTTTCGAATATGGTCTCGTTTTGCATGCGAATTGTGGATCCGGCTGTTGCGAAATTCGCGCCGTGTTTGAAATTCATGCCGATCGAGTCTAAGTAAGGGCTCAAATATGGCAGTCCCAAATGCTCGGCTGCACGAATATACACTTATGAATATTCTGAGTTCGTCATGCATGGCTACGAGTATACAATACGTTAAGTGATGTTAATTTAAACGAGTCTGGCTTGGCCTCGACTCGTTAAGGCTCGAGTTCAAGGAACGAGCCGAGCTCGAGCTCATTTAAAGTTCGTTTGATCAACAAGTCGAGCTGAGTTAAGGCTCAAAAAGAGAATTTTTATATAATTTTTTTAGTTCGACTCATTAAAACTCGAGATTGGCTCGTTAAGCTCAAGCTCGGCTCGATTATAGGCCTACTTTACGTTTGTTAAAGAGGACAGCGAACATGCATGAATTAACTGAAAAACTGTACCGATAAAGTCTATGATAAGGCGGCCATCAGAATTTCTCCCGGCAGGTTTTCCGAAGTAGCTTAAACCGTAGGGTGGAGGTGTGGGCCAGAATGCAGCTGATATTGCGCCCGTATCAGAATTCGAGTCGCCAAAATTGTAAATAGCCGGAAAATCGCACGGTGGGGACTCGGGTATTATTAGCCTTCTTCCCCAAGTGGTAATGGCAAGTGAAATTAGTGAAATGGTAAGTGCAAGTGTTTTCTTGGCCTTAGCCATTGTTGCCTGGAATAAAAAAAAAATGTTAGTGTTGGATTTAATTTTAAGTAAGGGAAGAAAAAAGAGGGAATTAGGAAAAATGGGGATGTTCTTCTCGTGCAAAAAGCGTTTGGTGTGTAATATATTATTCTATGTGATTTATTTATTTATCTATTTATTTGGATTTTATGTCATGATATTAAGCAATCTATGTAGGGTTGTTGGTCAAGGTCTTTGGCTTTTTATGCTGTTTTATTGCAACATATTGTGCGTGGGAAATGTGTCTGCATAGACTTTATTCCTGCAAGAGAAGTGCGCAATCAGTATTGTGATTCTGTTACTTCATCATATTTATGTTGTTAAACGAAACAAGTTGTCTACTAAGGCTCGTTTAAAGCTCGTATAGTTAATGAGCCGAGCCGAGCTGAACTCATTAATCAAAAACATGAATTTTATGTAGTTTTCCTTAGTTTAGCTTGTTCAAGTTTACTCATTAATACCGATAAATGAGTCGAGCTTGAGATGGTTTATTGATTTGTTTAGTTCTTGATTCGATAAGGCTCGAGCTTGAGATTCATTTACAAACTTAACACATTATTCCACGTCATTCTATAATTTGTCACTAATCCAAATTATTGACATTGTAATACCATTTTTTATCCGTGACCCACTCATGAGGTCACAGAATAAGAAAAAAAAAAGTCACAATAATGGGCGACCCAGGTCACATTGTGACTTCGGGTCGCGACCGGTTTTTGTGTACAAATGGATACTTGTTTCATTTTTATTGGACAAGTGTATTTGTTTCTAAATAAATCAAGGTTTTAAATAGCGGGCTAAAACGTTTATGGCACTGTAGCTATAACGGAGCTATAGCGGAGATTTAGCGGGATTTAGCGGCTAAATTGCAAATGAATACAAATAGCGGCACGCTGCCAAAAAAAGATATTTCTCAAATAGCGGCAACTTTAGCGAGCTATTTATTTCCTTGAAATAAATAAAAAAAATATGAAAATTCGTATTTTTTCATCTTCTCCAAATAGAGACCACACTTTATATATTTTAGAACACAATTGTAATTTTAAATAAATTAAAATAAAATAAATATTTAAATTGAGTTGGGCTGAGAATAAAGATAAATTGGGTTGGAAGATTGGATTGAGTAGGTAAAAGAGAGAGAAATAATTTTTAATTGTTAGGTTGAGTTGGATTAAGGTTAAGGATAGGCTAATACCTTAGGAGAAATTTACACAGTTTACATCCCATAGAATAAATAATATCACATATACAATATTTCAACTTTTTCATCATAAATACGTGATTTTACAAATTAAATAAGATCTGGTGCTGTTAAGGGTCCTAAATAACCGCTTAGTGTATTTAATTACATAGTTAATTCCGATATTCGTGAGAATTTAAAAAATAGGGAACTCTCTAACATGATTATCGGGATATGTGATTACTCTCCATCT